CAATTTTAACACATACACAACTACGCTTCGACTGTTATAATGCGATAAAAAATATGCATATGTGATAAAATTATATTTGTTGGAAAAGACAAGGGGCTAAAATTTTTTGAGATTCTCTTTATGTCAAGAAATATTTTGGTGCCTATAAAATATGTTCTAGTGGCTATAAGCCATATTCTAATGTATATGGGCATGTTTTGGTGTTATAAGGACAAAAGAGAATCATAAGGGATCAGAATTTTTTAAGATACCTACTATGGTCTTATTATATTTCTCAGTATATATAGTGATTTATTTGACTGTATTTATTTTCTTTTAAATATTCAACAAAACATTTAATAAAAAAATTTGAAAATTTCTATCAGCATGTATGGTCTGCTGAGCTGTAATACCTCATTATAATTTTGCTTCTAGTTTTCAATATCTGAGAAAGAGAAGAAGAATGTTATTTAGAAATTCATGATTAGAATGGAGTTTATAGGTATTTCTCTGTTTTGATTTTTATACATTTATGATTGTTTTATTATTCATTTTAGTAGCTTTTGTATGCAACAATATACTATAGTGTAGATATATTTTGATGAAATGAAAGAAATATTGTGGATGAGTTTATTATATATATATATATATATATACACACACACACATATAGCTCCGTAGTCTCTAGTTTATTTAAAATGAATATTAAAGGAGAATTTGTAACAATAAAAAATAAGATATTAGGATTTACTTATTACAGCTCAACATGATAGGATATGTCCTTGTCAGGTTAGGTTGTTACTCTTCTCCCCTTCGGCAGGTCACCATCTTGACTCTTCGACTTTTCCGTCTTCGATCGCCTGACAGTGATATATTAGAAGTAAAAGGTGGAGGTGAGGGAACCATACATCATCCGGCTTGATCGTAGATCAAAGAAAACCCGCGCAGCTTACCTAACGCTAGGTTTTATCATTTTACCTAACTTTTATTTGATTCATTACAGCTTCAGCTTTTCCTCCCAGGTCGCGATCCCGACTCTTCTCCTCTTCGGCAGGTCGTGATCCCAACTCCTTTCCTATTCGACTCTTCCGTCTTCGATCGCCTAACGGTGATATCCCATAAGCAAAAGGTGGAGTTGAAGGAACCTTACAACATCCGGCTTGATTGTAGTCCAAACCCGCGCAACTTACCTAACGCCAGGTTTAACGATTTTACCCAAGTTTTATTTGATTCATTGTTCATTAATATCAAAAGTTCAGAACTATATACATGAGTTTGTGATGAACTTTTTTCATATATAGGCTCTTTTTTTTATATGTGAAGTGCATATGCAATATTTGATTTTAATTAGGTACACATTGTTTACTAGATAAAGATTTTTTATGGTCTTACCAGTGCTACGAAAAATTTTGTTAATGTATTAGCATGATTAATCTTATTTGGTATTTAGTTTGTACAGAATTAGTGAGAGATTTGCAACTGTTATTGATATGATTATCATATGCTTGGTTCATTGCTTGCTTTATTGTGAATATGTAATGCATGGCATGTCTCTATCCTCAAATATCTGAATCTTTTGAGGAAACTAATAACATATAGAGTGAAGGTATTAGGAAAAAATTTCTCATTTATTTTATAATTTTTAAAAATATTATTATTTATTACGTTATCCAGATCGACCCCGGTTCGACCTGTTGAACAGGTCTAAGTGTGAACCTCTCTTTCTTCCGATTCGTTGTTCGGACTGGTTTTCAAATCCTTGGTTGTGACATTAAATTCTTTGGAGGACGCTTAAATAATTATAAAAATATATTTTGTAAGGACTATATATATATATATATATATATATATATATATGAGATAAAAATAGGACACAATGAAGAAAAAAATTCATGTAGCTTATCCCACATAATAAGATAAAGACTTTTTATTATTGTTGTTATATACTCGGAGATAAAATAAATCAAATATTTAATATGTTTTGTTTCCTAATATCATTTGTTCTTAAATTATAAGACAAAATTAATCTCAATCATCCAAATAAACTTTATATCTCAAAGTTAATATCATGAGAGCAAACGACAAAAAATCTTTAATGATGACAAGATACATCGTGAAGGCGGAGAGTTTGTCTATCAATATATTGTGTAGAACGCAACTCAACTTGATCTGTTAGTTAGGAGTTAGCCTTCCAACTAAAAGATCTTGAGCTCGAAGCTTACATATATAATATATGTATGAATTTGTCTTAATTAACGTAAATATAAAAAAAAAAAGAGCATTATATAGAGGTGATGGCTTGGGCAAATGATAGATTTTGTTATTTAAAAAAGACTTGTGGTAGTGACTTTAATCATTATTAACTGCTTTGATTTTCAAACAAAGCATTGTCATAGCCTCATAGGTTTGATGTTTATGATAGTGTGAAAAATATAAATTTTTAATGTCTTTATATTACATTTCCTTTCTATTTTATGTTTTTTTATTATTTTTTAAAGTAAAATTTTTTAAAAAAATTTTGAATTAAAAAACCGTTACAAAATGTAATAAAAAAATTATCTCAAATAAAATCTAAATATGTCAGTAAGCAAAAAAGTAATTACAATTGTAATTTCATAAAATGTTTGCATGCAACACAATAATTATGTTGAATTTATTTCATCAAATTGGATAATGATGAGAATCATGTAACGTGCACTCATACGTAAGTTGCTATTTAGGATCCATTTTTTTATTTTCAATTTTTTAAATAACCCAAAAAATAATTTTTAAATATTTTTATTTTTTTAATATAATTCACATGGGCCACTACTGCTGTTACTAGTCGTCATTATTATCTTATATGATTTTTAATGAAATAAAAATAATATTTATTGAGTATCAAATATCTTTTTATTTTGTATAAAAGATTATAAAAAATAAAAAAATTAAAAGCAAAAATAGAAAATAATCCCAATTTTAAAATTTGATTAATTTATTTTTGACCTTATCTTACATTTAGTGAATATTTAAGATATTAACTAAAGTGGTTTGTATGTGACTTTTAATAGATCCTTTCAATGAAATTTCTTTCAAGATTTTATATTTGAAATAAAATTTTGAGCTTCATTCGAATTTTCAATCAATTTCTTAGAAAACTCTCAAAATTAGGTGAAACTAAAAATATTAAAAAAATTTCATATTGATTCAGAACGAAATCAAATCTGAAATTATCTAAATTTAAAATCTTGTTCATACCAATCATTTCGTTTTTTTTTTTTTTTTTAATGCATCTCCAAGGACTAAGTCACTCTTCCATCTAAGCATCCTCATCTGTGAGCCAACAAAATTTTATTTTACGAAAAAATTTATCTTTAAAATACACATTATGTTTTTTTATTAATTACTTTTTCTTATTATAAAAACACAAAATAGTTATTCCAAACGGGAGATTATTATACGTGCGGTCATTGGACAATCCGGAGATGAGGAAGCCACACATAACCCGATATACAACGATACACAATGCCGATACACATCATATTAAAAACATTTGATAACCGCATGTAATAATTTCACATTCCAAACACACCCACAAACTCTGGAGCTTTTATTAGGTCCGGTGTAAGGACGTAGAGGAACGTCCGGTCGGAGGCAAAATCCCGCCCAAAAACTTGGTATTTGCTCGGTATTGCTAGGTATTATTTGATAATAACGAGGAATACCGCTCTGTGAAGACCAATACCGAGTTATACCGAGCAATACCGAGTTGTACCGAGTTTTTTCTAGGAAAAACTCGGTACAACTTTTGTATAACTCGGTATTGGGTCTTCACGTGATGGTATTCCTCGTTATTATTTGATATTGCTCGGTATTTGCTCGGTATTTCTTGTTTTTTGGCACGATTTGACTTCCGACCAGACGTTCCTCTACGTCCGATGACGTAATAATTGTTCCAAACTCTGGCCTAACTCGTCAGCCCTACTAGTGGCACAATGTAGTAGACAGAGACAATCACGTATCCTATATCTTTCAAAACTCCAAACCATAGGCTTATACTGCTTGCACTTCTCTAAGGCTCTAAGCCAATTATGGTTTATCGGCCACATGCGAAGCAGAAGAGGAAGAACATGTCACATCATGACACCAACCAAATGTATGATTGAGCCTGCAATAATATAAGAGTAGTGGTCACCATGTCTTCAATTTTCTTTGTTTCAATTTGTCCATTGTTTTGCATTATTTATTGGTAGGCAATTTTTTACACGGTGGAAAGCGACTCCTCCAACGTTCTCTTTTTATGTTTAAGATTTTGTTAGGCAGAGAAATTATTCTGGGAGGATGTTGAACGGTCATGAGATCAATCAGAATACATCATGTCATCTGGTACATAATGATATCAAGCACTGGTAGTAAGAATTAATTAGAAGATGGAAACTAAATTCCAAAAAAAAAAAAGTGTTTCGAGCTATATCTTAAACATGCTTGAGAAAAATTACTACATGAGGGGAATAATTCTAGAATCTTATATTCTTCATGAATGGTTATGAGCTATCTAATGCTACTATTGTGGGAGTCAATTTCTTAAGTGGAGAAAGATTGTTAGTTACCTTGATGAAGTAAATTTTTTAAATATTCAAATGCATTTTAGTGGAACAGTTGATATTTTCTTTTAAAACCCCCGAAGTTAAGCCTGCTAGTGCTAGATTAATCCAAGAGATTAAACTTGGGAGGATTGTTAGACCAAAATGAATAATATCCCAAATAAGATTTCATGACACAAGCAGTGAGCCCTACTAGATCGTATAAATCAGCCCAAAATATGCTACAAAATTAGCTGTGATCAACTTAGCTCATCTAACAAACCACCTAACTTTTAATGAATTCACAGTTTTGGAACTACTACTACTCCTGGCTATGGTAACATCATAAGAAGGTAAGAAATCATCAATTGGTAAGCAGACGAAAGGTAGCAATCAACTTCACAGTTGAAAGCAAATCGACCAAAACTATTTTTAGTCATTGAAAATAAGCTCTACATAAACACTTTCATACTTAAGTTTTTTCCCTCCTCTCTTCTTCCCCTCACATGGACACCAAAGCCCAACTGTGTTTTGCTAAAGCTATATCTTCCTTTGCTCTTATTTTCCTTTCATTAATCAATTACACAGAAGCAGATACCTTCAACAACAGGAACAGCCATATCTACCATAATTCTTCTGATAAATCAACAGAGAGCAAGGCTAACTGCAACTTCTTTTATGGAAGCTGGGTGTTTGATTCTTCCTATCCTCTATATGATTCCTCTACTTGTCCCTTCATCGACAACGAGTTCAACTGTGAAAAGTATGGCAGACCAGATAAGCTCTTCCTCGAGTATGGATGGAAGCCAGAAACTTGCGAGCTCCCAAGGTTTGAATGCTTTCTGCTACCATCAACAACAATACAACTGTAGTACTTGGTTTTTATTCTTTTTGAGCTCTGATGTCAGTTTCAGAAATGGTGTTTTAGATTTGATGGGAAAGATTTCTTATGGAGATGGAGGGGGAAGAAGATTATGTTTGTTGGAGACTCACTTAGCTTGAATCAGTGGGAATCTTTGCTCTGTATGATCCACTCAGCTGTTCCTAATGCCAGGACTTCACTGTCAAGAGGAGGGGGTTCCCTCTCCTCTGTTAGGTTTGAGGTATTGTCTTCTTTCTTCTCTCTTCATTATCACTGTTTACACCCATGGTTGGATTAATTGCTTAATTTGCTATAGTGAAACTTTGTCCTATTTTTACCAAAAGTTACAGAGATTTTTTCTTGAGATTTTTTTTTTCATGGCTTTCATGCTTAGAATAAACAGTAAAGCGTTCATATTTTTGTGTTTGTGGATAAGGTTGAAATTGCTTAATCATTATTTAACACTGTACATTTTGAAAAAAAATAAAAATACCTAATACTGTTTATAATTAAAAAAAAGATATTTTGGTATGTATTATTTAGTTAAAATACATAATGTGCATTTTGGTATAATTGATGATAACTTTTTTAAACTTCAAAATTAAGTATGTTTGTAATAGAGTTTTATTGAGATAAATGATTACATGAAAAGCTACATGAAAATATAATATAATTAAATTTAGATTTTATTTAAAACAACTTTCTTATTGCTTCACTTTTTAGATTTCAAACATCATTTCTATTTGGCCATTATTTTTTTTAGTATTTTAAAAAAAATTATACTAAAAAATTGCTTTTTTACAACATCATCAAAAAATTCCCCTCTACAACAACTTAACAAAGCAATAAAAAAATTGTCCCAAACAAAATCTTAGTCGTATATAAGATAAATTAGGTTAATATGGATAAATACATGCATATTACTCTACTTCAGAATTACAAAGCATCTTTTTTAGGCTTCGTTTGAGACGGCTTTTTTATTGATTCTTAAACGGAGTTTTTAAGAAGCAATAAAAAGGCAGTCCTAAACGAAGCCTTAGGCATCATTTGAGATGACTTTCTTACTGCTTTTTAAAATAGTTTTATACCAAAAAGTTTTGATCTATGAATTTTTATACTAAAAAGAAAGCAGTAAGAAAACCATCCCAAACCAAACCTTATTTATCAATAATCTACGAATCAAAACTACAATAATCAAACTGAGCTCATCCTCCTATCCCAAATCATCCATGTCATGAAAAAATTTTGAAGTTCCAGAGAATCCGTTCACAAGCAGGACCACAAATGTCATCATTTTCCACGAAGAGCTGCTACACCTTATCTCATTCTTCTGCTTGTTAAAAGGAGAAATTATTATGTGCAGAATCCGAATGCATTCAGATTCCAATCATCGCTTGCCACGTCAGCGGATGCACTCCGGGGCCCGTACATTCAATGACGTGACGCATGATGATTGGAATCCGAATGCATTCGGATTCAGATTCCGCACACAATAATTTCTCTGTTGAAAGCCCCTTCTTTGTAGGCCATCTTCGATTGTGGATTTAGCTGGAAAGTATAAGTAGGCCCAGTTTTGCAAGAAAAATTGCTATAGGCTCCAGTCTTTACTGTTTCTGGCTTTTCTGCAAATTTAATAATTGTAGAAGGTCAAAAGAAGCAGCACATGGATATGAGGAACCAAGCCAACTGTAGCTTCTACCCACAACTAGAATGAAGTTTGATGGAGGTGCCATAATTTAGTTGAAATATATAGAAATTAATTTCAAGATTTTAATAGGGGGTTTCAAAATGCATTAACCAGGCAAGTTTGGATCTGATCCAAAATTGATCTAATTTAACCCGAATGACTCGCACCCGATCCGATAACCTATTATTATGAAAAAATTATAACGTGTCAACTATAGAGCTTGGGTTAATAATAAAAATTAAGGTCAATCCAACAAACAAAAAAATTAAAAAAAATATATATAAAAGGGTCAGTTTTAGATCAAAATTGGATTCATAGGTAAACTTCAATCAAACATATTAAATAAATGGGTAAAAACTTCTGACTCGAACCTAAATTGGTCAATCTAAACCCGAATTTTTTAGGTTTGGTTGCCAGTTTGGGTCATATAGCTAAGTTTTTGTATTGAATTCCGATTATATAATATTTAAAAAAAAAAAGACTTATAAAATATTTTGATTAAAATTTTTATTAGGACCAGTATTCAAATTATTGAATTAATTTTGAGGAACATAAAATAAAATAAAAATTTAATCAATTATGAAATATTATATTTATTTTATAGTAAATTCACATGCTTAAAGATCAATTTTGGCCAAATTTGTATGAAAATATTTTGACCCAATCTTTTTCATAGTAAAAATAAAGGTATATTTCTATGGTTTGTTAAGACATGAAGCATGGCAGGTAACACAGCAAGTCAACCAATCTAATGCTGCCGCTAATCACGCCATTCATTAGAAGAATCTCCACTTTCCAAAACTGCTTCTTCTGGCTTTTGTAATAGAAATAAAAAATAAAAATTACATCAAGCCAAGGATTGTAAATGTGTCGCGAGTCATTTTAAGCTTGATTAGTTTAAGAATAATTCCAAACAAAGGATTTCTGTTACTAATAAATGTAAATAAATAATTTAATGTGTATTACGTATGAAATTATTATTATATTATACAAATACACTATTATGATTTATTAATAAGTTTAATACCACTTACACAGGACTACGGGTTATCAATCATGCTCTACAGATCAACATACCTTGTTGACATTGTAAGGGAGAGCATCGGACGAGTGCTGAAGCTCGACTCCATACAGGAAGGTCAGGCATGGCTTGGTACTGATCTTCTCATCTTTAACTCTTGGCATTGGTGGACTCACACTGGAAGCAGCCAGCCGTATGTTAACTATTTATTTCCCTTAATTTATCCTCCTCAGCTCATTTTTGTATGAACTGTGAGGAAGAAGACAATGAACCAAACTAAATGAATTTTTTTTTTCTATGTTACAGATGGGATTATGTACAGTATAAGAATAATATATACAAGGATATGAACAGGTTGGAAGCTTTCTATAAGGGGATGGCAACCTGGGCAGAATGGGTAGATTCTAATGTAAACCCAGTGAAGACGAAGGTTTTCTTCCTGGGCATCTCTCCCACGCATTACCAGTAAGATATTGCTGATCATACTAGATTTAATTAAGAGGAAATGTGTTTAAGCTCGATTGTAGTTATTTATACTGCACATGCTTGGAATAAATCAAAGGCCCGTTTAGCTAATTCTTGGTTAGTTCTTGCTATGGATGCAAATGAAACGCTTTCATAAAAATTCTCGTAGAATCGAGAATGAAGTTTTCATTCTGTACACAACAGATCATGAATTAGTAACGAGGATCAAATGCAAATAGCTGTTACAAGGAAACACAGCCTATAGGAGGATCGAGATACCCAGGTGGCTCAGTCCCTGCTTTGAACGTTGTGAAGAAAGTGCTGAGCGCAATGTCAAAACCTGTTTATCTACTTGACATAACTCTTCTATCTCAATTAAGAAAGGATGCTCATCCTTCTAAATACGGCGGAGAGCACTCAGGAGTAGATTGCAGCCACTGGTGCCTCCCGGGTCTCCCTGATACATGGAATCAGATTCTGAATGCAGCTCTTCTTTGACAGAAAAGAAGAGAGGAGTTCAATGGTTTTCTGGTTCCAGTATTCTTTCTGCATTCTGGATTCATTTATAGATGTGAATTGGAAGGTGTGATAATCAAAGATAAGATTTGTGCTGTTGAATAATTGTTATATATTGTAATTTGCTTTGCTCATTGAAAACCTTTACTGGTTCTCTACCATTCAACATTCCGGTGAGAATATACATATATATATATGGAATTGTTTATTATGTACCTACTCTTAGATGTGTCAAATTCAATCTTTGTGTGTTGATTTCTTCCACTATATGTGCAAAGAATTTATATTATTGGAGATTTTTTATGTGTAACCATATGTAAATATTAAGTACATATTAGGTGTAATATTATTTTAAATTTATTAAAATTATGATTAAATTAAAGAGTAATCATTATTTAACTTTTAAGAAATCTTATTAGGTTTTTTTTTTTTAGACAGGCTAAAATAAAATATAATACACTCAAATATAAGTAAAGTCATGGTTTCAGTCAAAATGATTTGGCTCTTATTTTACTCAGAACCCATCTAAAGTGAAAAGGTGAATATCTTTCAAAAATGCCACTTTAGAGGTGGAAGGTTGAAAATCTTGTATTTGGGTGTCAATGGATTTAAATATGCTTCGACTAAATCTTCTTAATGAATTGACATGAGACCTGGGTAGGATGAATTTATTTTTCATATTCAATTACTTCCAACAACTAATATAAAAAATATCATGTCTTGTCTTCATTGACTTGTTTTCATCCAAAAAAAAAAAAATTAAGGAAAAAGTCAAAAGATTTTCTTTTTGCGAATATGTTTTATAATCAGCGAATCACAAAATTTTGAATTAATAGGATTTGTAATTGCCATTAATTTAATGGTTATTATTTTTCTCATTTGTATGCTTCTAACTTTTTATCTGATGTTGGCCATTAAACGAGAAGCATAATATTAAGTTAAGTATTGCGGAGATGAGGATGCTCAAGTAGATGAGTGGCTTTGCTCTTAAAGACATGATACAAAATGAGCATATATGTGAAAAGGTTGGAGTATTTTAAGTGGAATATAAGATTAGAGAGAGCTGGCTTAGATGATTTTGTCACATAAATCGGCGGCCTTCCAATGACCCGGTTAAGAGTAGATGTATTAGATTTGGCTTATGTTAAGAAAGGTAGAGATAGTTTAGATGACTTTTGAATCCAATTACTCTCACGAGTATTTCGATTGATTATGTATGTGGATTCTAGGATAGTTTCCCCAGTTCTCCTTAATATCTTTTTAGAGTTTGGTTTTGGAAGTGTGACTTGTAGAAGGAGATAATTTTTTTCCTCTAGATCATTCCATTTTTCTTGGGGATGATAGGACAAGAGGATTGATCAATAATAACATCTTTATTGAACAAATAACATATATTTTATTATCATAATCATGAGCCTTATCTATATAAAATATCTTGATGTTAGCTTTAAATTGATATTTTATCATAGCAATAAAGGTAGGGAGAACACAAGAGACATATTTTTTATTTGATAAGATATATATAATTGTGTTCTTTAGTGATTTGATGGAAGAATAGAAGATTTACTCCAATGTGAGGAACATACAAGACATTGATAATGATAAATATCGAAGAAATAAAAATATTTCCTAGACCTATAATAATTGTTAGGAAACACTTGGCAACTTTATTTTTTCTATTGCTAGGTTAGGATTTATAGCTTTAGAAAAAGTTGACAAGGGTTGTCATATAATTAGTGACTCCTTAGTTTAGGATTTATATGTTAGAGAAACTATTTAAGGCATTAAAAAAACATGAGTAAAAAAAATATATCATTTTGGGCTAAAGAGCATGACCCATATGATTTTTTTAGGGAGTTGAAGTTCTTTAGTTTTACATTTTTTCTAAATTAAGCCCTTGTAATTCCACAAGGTAAGATTGCTCTTTTGAATGACTTCATATTTTTATCATAGCTTTGTGGCTTTCCATGAAGTTTCCAATAATTTTCTTTGATTTACACTTTCTTCTTATAATAGTTGCAACATACATTATTTTTGGGGGAAGATTTTTGCCCTTGTTTTCGGGAAGATTTAGAGGTAATAAATTCCTTATCCCGAGGATTGATGGTTGTCATAACAAATATTTTCAAGATACGATTGTTAAGCTTAACCATCATTCTTCCTTTTCTAACTTGTCAATAATAGGTTTAGGTGATAGATCTACATTATCATTATACTTCATCTTTATAACTACATCATCATTATTATACTTCATCTTGATATCTTAAAAAAATAACTACATCATCATTATACTTCATCTTGATATCTTGGTAATTTTCTAGTTCAAGGTGATAGATCTACATTATATTAAAGGAAAAAAGATCAAAATGATCTCTTGACTCTTTATGAAGGATCAAAATAATCTACAACTTTATTAAAGGACTATTTGGTCCCTCAAGGTTTTAAGAAAGAATCAAAATAGACTTATAATTAGATTATTTTGGTTTCTCTTTAAGGAGTTGAGGAGTCTAATTTATCGTTTAATAAACTTGGGGACCATTTTGGTCCTTATAAATAGTGAGTGGATAATTTTGATAATTTTCTCTTATATTAAAATATTTAATAACGATGTTATTTGATTCCATACATGAGAGTAATATCCATAACTTTGGAGTATGTTTGTTTGAAGATGCTCTTAATATCATTTTTTGCTAATTACAAATATGTATGACTTATTAATTTCAGGACACGTTGTTCTATATAATGATCATGAAATATATTTTATCCCAAAGTGCAAATCATAGATTTTTGGCACATGAGGAAGATCCATAAGAACATAACTTTTTTCATTTTCTTTTAAAAAGATCTTCACAATTTAAGACCATTTTAGATAATTTTTTCATTCAAAATCTAATTCTCATTATTCATAATGATTGACTCTTTGAAGAGTAACTCAAAAAAATCAAACATAATGAAGAAAAAGAAAGAATAAAAGAGGAAGAACAAATCTTGGAAAAAGAAAACACCAATCTTGCTCTTATATCATATATTTTTCTTTTATTTTTTTGACACTATTTTTGAAACATAAAACAATATTTTATTCATTGTTTATTATTAAATATTATGATTTTTTATATCTTTATAATATTAAAAATTTAAGACTCATTCCATATTTTATATAATTTAAGCGATTATTATAAAGTTAAGTCAAAACGTGTTTGTGCCTATATTTTTAATAATAGCTATATTCTGTTTGTCCTGTATATATATTGTATTTTTATCATAAGGTGTGAGATAGATCTGTTGCTTCAAATCATGACTAATAATTTCTCTAAATTCGCAAAAATTATTAGGTGCAGGCCGTGGATGTAGCTGTGCGTCCATGTTCCATGTTTTATACAAATTTATAGTCCTAAGGGCTTGAATGGCGTTGCTACAGAGCTCTAACGAAACGATAAAAATTTCACTATTTGCTTGCGGGTGAACAGTGGTGCGCCAATATTGGCGGTGCATTATTCATCCCCGCTATTTTTCTGTCTCCACCTAACTTACTAAAGAAACATGCGAAAAGAAGAAAGAATGTTACCTTCTCAAATTTGGAGTTCCACTGGATGAATCGTGGCATTTTTTTTAGTTTCAGCCATTTTGAAGTGAAAAATGAGATTTTGGTCTAAATACAACGCTCTTGAGCAATGCAGCGGCCACGTCTCACCAGCCGTCACCGCCACCAACCTCCGCCTCCATGGCCCTCAAATTGCCACGCCGACTAAATCTTAAATGCCTTCATCACCAAACTAATGCGGCAAACCACTCTTTAATAAAATCATAAACAAATATTTATAACTCAGAGAAACCAAATTCATAATCTCCCCGTTCTCCATTTGCACATCGAATCAAACGCGCACAATTTCTACAAGCAAAACTGCGCTGCCATGAATATCCAGATACTGGAAACCCAACTCATCTCTTCCTCCCCCTCTACCTTGCAATTCGACCCCCTCCCTCTCTCCCACCTCGACAACGACGCCAACCTCCGCATCCCCTTCCGCACTCTCCGCGCATTCTCCGGCGACTCATCCCAATCCACCGCCGATCCCTCCGCCACCATCGCCGCCGCTCTCTCTAAAGCCCTAACCTTTTACAGGCCCCTCGCTGCTTCCCTCCGCTCTGACCCCTCTAACTTCCATCTTCACTCCCACCTCTCCTCCCCCGCTGAAGTCTTACTCGTCATTGCCTCCGCCTCCGACCCGCTCCACGCTGTCCTCCGCCTCTTCGACGCCGAACCGGGTTCACCCATCCTCGACCGGCTCGCGCCCGACGCCAACCCGGACGAGGCACTGGCCCGCCCGCTCGCTCTCCAGATAACCCGGTTCGCTTGCGGGGGCTTCGCGCTCGGAATGTGCGTGCACCATGCGCTGTGCGACGGCGCGGGGGCCAGCCAGTTCCTGGCTGCTAGAACTTTGGGCGTACACCTTTCTCAAACCATTCACATGGGGTATAACACGAATCTTCAAGCTTACTAATTTTGACGAAGGGTTAATATTAATATATTTTTTATTAAAAAAATTATATACATACATATAACAAAATTAGCATATGAACTTAACTTTTTATATAATGTAACATTTCATTAACTTGTGTTAGAAACCTTAACGAAGTTCTGGTTAGCAAAGAGGATGTCATGATAGATTCTCGTTGGACAATGAAGAATAGATCAGAGTTCAACGAGCTCCTCTTGAGCTCTGCTAATGAAATTGTAATCTAAGTCAATATTACAACACAATTGATTGACACAATCAGATTCCACACAAAACTAACATTTATATCATATATGAAATATTTTTTTTTAACATCCATTCAATCAATATATATTTAAAATTAATTTTTTACATTATATCAAACAATAATGCTATTTGCACAAATATAAATTTTATTTTGTATCGCCATAAATTGCAATCATTCAATATATATACATATTTCTTAAGTATTTATGGACATAATTAATTTTTTGTAAACTATAAACTTTTGCATGTCATGTTCAAAACTAGTAAACAACCAACTGTGAGAATAACGACTGTGTTATGTTTAATTTCTGAACAAAATAGAATCAAAGCAAAGAAGCTTGATGGCAGAGAAGTGGTGAAATTTGTGTATTCCATGAGCATAAAGAAAATAGTGATCCCCCAACTTCCCAGTGGTTATTGGGGCAATAGCTGCGTCCCAGTATACATTCAATCCACAGCTAAAGAACTACTTGAAAAACCATTATGGAAGATAGCAATGGAGATCAAGAAGAGCAAAGAGCAGGTCACGAACAAATATCTGAGGTCCTTCATCGACTTTCAGGAGCTTCACTACGAAAAGGGCATCACGGCCGGGAAGGAAGTGAGCGCTTTCACAGATTGGAGGCATTTGGGGCATTCAGAGGTGGATTTTGGTTGGGGATCTTCGATTGCTGTTTCGCCGCTTTCATGGAGGTTGCTTGGGAGCAACGAGCCTTCATTTTTGTTGCCCTATGCTGAATCGGAAGGTGAGAAGAGGGATGGATTTAGGGTTTTGGTTTGCTTACCTATGGACGCAATGGCGTTGTTCAGGTTGGAAATGGAGATCTTTGGGGAATGTAAATTTAAAGTGTGTCTGTGATTTGGGAAAATTTTCTCGAAATGGTTTCTCGTGATTTGGAGATGTTTGGAGAAGATGCTAATAAAGTGATATTTTGTGTGGATTTATATATATAATATACACTCTTTATATTTATACATTTAAAGCATAATTTTTAACATTTAATTATGTAATACTTATATCTTTATTAAAATTTTAATTAATATTAATTTTTTTAAAATAAAATACATTTTTCTTGCATATATTTTGATGTGATAGAGATAAAAGTATTATAAGTTAATATAAAAAATTTTATGTTTGATACATAAATACGAAAAAATTATATGGTAGTATGAAAAAAATGTCACATGTATAGCATGTGTGATGCCTCTAATTAGGATGTTTTGCTCTTTTTTTTTTTTTTTTAATTACAAACATAACATTTAAAACTTCTTTATTTACAAAAGTAATACTCGTATCATTTTTTAAACTATCAAATCATATCATTGGGAATTTGACAAATGAGAAAGTACTTATGATCATTCTTGAATTTTAAAATTTTACCTAATTGGAGCTTTAGTGGTTGTATTTCCTATCATTGTGATCTTACTTTACAAGAAAATAACAACATCCAATAGCTATGTTTTCATCAATTATGTGACAACCTAAAAAGAAATATGGCCATTATGATCATCTATTTGACTAAATTCACATATAGTAAAATCTTGTCTTTAAGGAGGATGTATTCCCCTATCACCACCTACCCAAACAAATAACACTATAAATCTCATACTCCATACTACCCAAATTACCCTTTTCCCATCATCTTTTATTCAATAAAACAACAATCTCCATAATAATCCTCCAACCAACAAGCATACCACATCAAACACCACCTTCCCAATTAAGCAAATCTCTTCTCATAACTTTCAAAAGCTATCCTAACAGAAGTAGCCTGATTATCAATCAAACACAAACCATTCCACAATACATCACTCACCAACAACTACTATCATTGAAAAAACCAATGGTCATCCCATAATGACTCGTCTCAACTCCAATCATGTTAGATCAACACACTTCATAACTTCACCTCATTAGATTTGACTAGCTACACTACGTTATGTAAATATACAACCTAGCGTTAAGCCATGTCATGAGTTTCAAGCTTAGAAATCCTAAAGCACCCATGCTTTGCTACTACCATCACTAGAATAAAACTTGTTTGCATTCAAATGGACTTATGAAATTAAATATAACTTTGACAGAATGCTCGCAAGTCACAAAGCTTAGCATGTTGCCTAAGGCTTCAAATAAAAGTATGATCTTGACTTTACTGAACCTTTAAGTCTTATAAGAAAAAAATATTAACCCTCCAAATTATGTTCACAATGTAATGCATCCAATAGATTTATACATGATAATCTCAATGAGATAATCTACATGAAATAGCTAGTTGAATTAGCCAACATCTACTATCCTAAACATATCTGTCTTCTTAGAAAAGTCAATTCACAATCTTCTTCAATCATTTTAACAATAATTCACCACTTCACTAAAACCTTTAGCAATTGGTGATGTAGTGGATCGTCGGAAGATCAAACCTGCAAGAAGGATTTCAAGGAGTTCCCAATTCAGGGAAGAAGAAGAGAGCTTTCTCAAAGCTTCAAAAGGGTTTATATCATTCAATGGTCCTTTCCACATCATTCTCCCCTTGCGTAAAAAGAGCTCGACTCCGTTCGAGGCTCGTTAATTAGAAGGGAGGTAGGGTGGAACACAAATTCCTGGATCGAAGACTTTGTTCTCAGTATTTTCTTGGAAGTCCTCAAAGCTCATTACTAGAATGTCAATTGCTTTGTAGTCCTCAATGGATTGGTAAGCGTCCTCTCGTATAGGATTCCTCACGCTGTTGACTCCCTTCCAATTCCTGAAGTAGGCATAGATGTTAAATGAAAATACATAAGTCTCATCATTCATTGCTTTAATCTCCATGATTTTGTTCAGGGTAATTTCTCCCAACTGGATGTTTCTATAACTTTTGCACATATTAAGCAGAACTTCCCAAACTCCAAAATGAGGTTTAGAAGGTATGGATTGAATGAACGGTAAAGCCTCTATGAGTCTTCCAGCTTTGCCATACAAGTCCACCATGCAGCCATAACTCTTAGGCCAATACTCAATTCCATAATTACTCTTCATCAAATCAAGTCCTCTATCAGCCAATCCCGCAATGATGTACCCACGGAGGGCAAAAACAAGTGTAATTTCCTTGGGCTCTAATTTTTCTTTCTCCATGAGCTCAAAGACCTCAATGCATTTCTTGACTGCTCCCTTCATGCCTCTAGCAAGGAGATCATTTCTAGACAAAGATGCAGTTTCACATGTTTTGAATAACTCAGGATGCGGCTCTTGCTTTATGCTTTCTAGTAGATGAAGAATTTGAACTGTGAATCGATCCCCCTCTACAATGCCGGCAGTGAAATCGTCAACAACCATTTGTCCGAAGTTAGCAACATTACGCCGAGCAGCGTGGGAGCATGGTGTTGAATCAGTCTTGTCACTAAAATTTATACCGTGTATTTTCACACTAAGGCTTGATACATCGGACTCACGTCGACCGTCGGCGCTGGTAATGTGATGCTCTAGCTGAAAGTAAAGCCTCTCCTTTTCCACCAATACACAGGCGCCACTGTTTCCTAAGCACGGATGCGGTGGAAGATCGCCGGTGAGCTTGTTGGGTGAGCGGTCGAGGAATCGGAGCTGACCTGTTGTGCCAAATATCCGAGGGATGCTACCAATAAAATTGTTTTTCCAAAGCTGTTTCTCTTCCAGTAGTGACATTAAACAGCCAATTGGGTCACCAGTGTCAGGATAACCCAAAACATTAGCGAAATGGCCATGAGGGAATAAGATATCAATACCCAACTTCCCTAAGTCATTACATCGAGCAGTTTGCGAGCACGACGTTGTATCAATCTTTTCATCATGAACTTTTTCTACTTGTTCCTGCTTGCTTTGTATATCTGCATCTCGTCCAATCTTAATATAGTTGAGAGGATTCCATGCGGATATATCTCCAGCCTTCATTAAAACATCCTTTAGTTTAAATTCAGTGCCTGAATCTTCTTCCTCTTTAATTCCCTTAACTGCAACATCACTTTTCACTTCCGCATCATAATGCACCACATAATCATCATCCTTCTTTCCGGAAAGACGACGTAAAACAGTCGAAACTGCAACTGATCCCTTGTCCTTCACAAAGTTTTTAAAAGCTACAGCTTTTTCTGGCCAAGCAGATGCCTGCTCTGAGTCTTGTTCTGGGGATAGGCTAAAAGACCTCCTGGTTGCTTCCATTTCAAGACCCTCTGTTCCATCAAATACAGGATCCACTTCTTTCTCTTCAGGAAGGTGATGTGATCGGAAAAGGCATGTCGAGTCTCCCGGGAGAATGTCGACAGATTTCTCCGGCTCCTTACCAGAGTCTCGCTGGAGGTTCTATGTGATAGAGATAAAGTATTATAAGTTATAAAAAATTTTATGTTTGATACATAAATACAAAAAAATTATATGGTATGTATGCAAAAAATTGTCACATGTATAGCATGTGTGATGCCTTCAATTAGGATGTTTTGTTTTTTTGTTTTTAATTACAAACATAACATTTAAAACTTCTTTATTTACAAAATTAATACTCGTATCATTTTTTAAACTATCAAATCATATCATTTTGAATTTGACAAAGGAGAAAATACTTATGATTAATCTTGAATTTAAAAGTTTTACCTAATTGGAGCTTCAGTGGTTGTATTTCCTATCATTGTGACCTTACTTTGCAAATAAAATAACAACGTCCAATAGCTATGTTTTCATCAATTATGTGACAATCTAAAAAGAAATATGGCCATTATGATCATCTATTTTACTAAATCTACATATAGTAAAATCTTGTCTTTAAGGAGGATGTATTCCCCTATCACCACCTACCCAAACAAACAACACCATAAATCTCCTACTCCATACTACCCCAATTACCTTTTTCCCATCATCTCTTATTCGATAAAACAACAATCTCCATAATAATCCTCAAACCAACAAGCATACCACATAAAACACCATCTTCCCAATTAAGCAAATATCTTCTCATAACTTTCAAAAGCTATCCTAACAGAAGTAGCTTGATTATCAATCAAACACATCATTCCACAATACATCACTCACCAACAGCTACTATCCTTGAAAAAACCAATGGTCATCCCATAATGACTCGCGTCAACTCCAATCATGCTAGATCAAGACACTTTATAACTTCACCTCATTAGATTTGACTAGCTACACTACGTTATGTAAATATACCAACTAGCGTTAAGCCATATCATGAGTTTCAAGCTTAGAAATCCTAAAGCACCTAGGCTTTGTTACTACCATCACTAGAATAAAACTAGTTTGGATGCAAATGGACTTATGAAATTGAATATAACTTTGACGGAATGCTCGCAAGTCACAAAACTCAGTATGTTGCCCAAGGCTTCAAATAAAAGTACGATCTAGGCTTTACTGAACCTTTAAGTCTTATAAACAAAAATATCAACCATCCAAATTATGTTCACAATGTAATGCATCCAATAGATTTCTACATGACAATCTCAATGAGACAATCTACATGAAATAGCTAGTTGAATTAGTCAAAATCCACTATCCTAAACATATTTGTCTTCTTAGAAAAGTCAATTCACAATCTTCTTCAATCATTTTAACAATAATTCACCACTTCACTAAAACCTTTAGCAATTGGGATTCACATTACACAGTGCCTCTCTATGCTTATCTACCATTGTAATGAGGCATATTTTTATATCTAAATATTTTTTTTCTTTTTTCCAATAAACAAAAATAAGTTTCGATTATGGGATTCTGAATCCGACATAAATATATAAATATATGTATATGACATTCTTCCCTTTATACGTAATAGTCAAGAAGCTACCATAAACATTGCATCCACCCTCACAACACTTCAATCCTACTTTGACCCCAAATTGGGTAGGGATCCAACAAAATGCAAATTCATTACTAGTCACTATGCCTTCTTCAGACACACGCTCATCCATTAATGTGTCAAGAAATTAACAACAATAACCACTCCACATACAAAAAAATACGGAGCTTTAGCAATAGCATCAACAACATTATATAGATCAGATGACGACTTCAAGAATTTGATGTCCCCATTCCATCACCTAGAATTCTCTATTGCAACAATATATCAACAATTGCCTTGATCAATAATCATGTATTCCATATAATAATCAAACACATTGGAATAGATTATCAGTTCATATGAGACCACATCAAATATCAAACTATCATATTTCATCACATCACATCTCAAGATCAAATTGTTAACATACTCCCCAAAACATTATTCACCATTGGGTTTTAACATCTCCAAGACAAGCTAAGAATCCAAGGCGGATGGTAAGTTTGTAGGAAGGTGATAACATATTGCTAACATAATTATATAGAATCACTAAAAGGCTCTAAAAAATAGACTCCACTTCTCATCAAACCAACATTAGCCATTTAACCAATATCAACTCTACAACCTATAACCATCGAATATGGAATTTAGTATATAACCTAATGTGCTAAAAAAAGAGAGCAAAATACAATGGCTTTACCTCAAGCACTTTTCATTCCATATATCGCTTTTCTTATTTTCTATTGTTAGCATAGTAAATTTCTTAGATAATACAATATACAACATTATATCAACATCATCCCCATCTTATAGAAAATGCGTATACAACATATTTCTTTTTTATAAAAATTTTCATATTAATTTTTTGTTTCGTTTATCTACTCCGTTTATTTTATTGTGGGTGTGAATCTAAAAAAATATGTAAGGGAATAATATTGATCTTCATCTCACGACTTGATTTTTCCTACTAAATAGGGTTAAGACTTTCAATCTATATAAGAAATAAGTCAATTTAACCACTCCATTAGAATTGGATCTTCTTTCAATCAAACTCGAATCTAATTCTTAAACCTTTCTTTAGGGCATCTCCAACCGAAAAACTCATTTTTCACTCTAAAATACAATAATACAACAATATACAGTAACTTACTCCAACCGAGCTCTATTTTCTAACACCAAAAAGAAAAAATTCTTAGTATCTTCTTTCTCATACTTAAAACTTTAAAATTAATAACCAATTTTTCGAATAAAAAAATAAATAACGGGTGAACAGTATAACGTCAATATTAGAGTCGCACAATTCACCCGCAATCTAATAGAGATATTTTCTTCAATCGGATGGAGGGACGGATGGCATTCAGTTGGATATGCTCTTAAGCAAATGTAATACGATGCCGCTTCGTGCTATTAACCAGTAGATTCGAGTACATAGCTAGCGTTGGCTGCAACCCATTTTGCTGCTACAGTTCGACCTACTCAGTCGCAGGAGCGCACCCTATCCTCTTATCCCGGTTTCGCAATCATCTGCTCCTCTCCTATCCCAGAGCTCGCGCTTCCATCCTTCTCCGAAACTTGGAACTGGAGCTGGATAGCTTTAGTAGTAGGTACTCGAACCAGAAAGTAAAAGCTACAGCACGACTCCCGCTTTCACCATGGTCGGGCCCTTAGCGGCCTCCTCCTCTACCACCCTCCTCCTACCTTATAGAGCACCAACGCTTCTCTACCCAGTACCTTCTTTTCCATCATCTCTTCCCGGTAAGATTGCATCAGCTTAGAAGTCTTCTTCTTCTGAATGGTTCAAACTTAATTCCTTCGCAAACCCTAATAATTCCCCAGTGTTTTTTTTTTCCTTATGCAGCTCAAATTCCATGGAGGAGGATATCCGAGATTGGAGCAAGCAGTGGTTCAAGAAGGGGATTCCGCCGGCTCCAGGTTTCTAATGTCGCCGTCCCTGAAGTGAGCTCGACTACAGAGGTAACACTCATTTCCAGTTTCCCATGACTTACAGGTATTGGTCATGTAACTCCAAAACCCTAGCTTTCTTTTGGAGATTCAATAATGTGTGTGCTGGAACCTAAATATAGGTTAGAAGAATAGCTGCCAAGGAAGTCCAACGTCCGGTTTACCCCTTCGCTGCAATTGTTGGCCAGGAAGAGATGAAGCTATGCCTCCTACTTAATGTCATCGACCCAAAGATTGGTGGCGTCATGATAATGGGAGACCGAGGCACCGGGAAGTCAACAACAGTTCGTTCACTGGTAGACTTGCTGCCAGAGATTAAGGTGGTCATTGGCGACCCGTTCAACTCTGATCCTGATGACCCAGAATCTATGGGGATGGAGGTTAGGGAGCGTGTCATCCAGGGAGAGGAGATTCCTGCTACAACCATCAAGATTACCATGGTTGATCTCCCACTTGGAGCCACTGAGGACCGAGTTTGTGGAACCATTGACATCGAGAAGGCCCTCACCGAGGGTGTGAAGGCCTTTGAACCTGGACTCTTGGCCAAAGCCAATAGAGGCATTCTATACGTTGATGAGGTCAATCTTTTAGATGATCACTTGGTAGATGTTCTCTTGGACTCTGCTGCGTCTGGCTGGAACACAGTGGAGAGAGAAGGGATATCCATTTCTCATCCTGCTCGCTTCATTCTCATCGGTTCTGGAAACCCTGAAGAAGGAGAGCTAAGGCCACAGCTTCTTGATAGGTTTGGAATGCATGCTCAGGTTGGCACAGTGAGGGATGCAGAGCTAAGGGTGAAGATTGTGGAGGAGAGGGCTAGGTTTGATATGGACCCGAAAGGATTCAGGGAATCCTATAGGACAGAGCAGGAGAAGCTCCAGCAGCAGATTACATCAGCTAGGAGTAACCTGTCTTCAGTTCAGATTGATCATGATCTCCGAGTGAAGATATCTAAGGTGTGTGCAGAGCTAAATGTGGATGGTCTCAGAGGAGATATTGTGACAAATAGGGCTGCTAAAGCATTGGCAGCCTTGAAGGGGAGAGACAGAGTGACACCAGATGATGTGGCTACTGTAATACCTAATTGCTTGAGGCACCGGCTTCGGAAGGACCCTTTGGAATCTATTGACTCTGGGTTGCTTGTCATAGAAAAGTTTTATGAGGTGTTCAATTAAGCCATCTCTGAGAGGTAAAACTGTAATTCTTTAAGTACGAATCTCGGCTGAAGCCTTTTTTCTCAGATGATACTTTGTTTTTGACGTTGTTTTTGTCTCAGTTTTTAGTTCTATCTTGTTTTAGTTTACCTTTTAGAAGATTGGTATGATATGTAGGAGAGCTTTTTCCTTATTTGCTTCAGGAAAGTTTTTTCGAAAGTAGGTTTGACTAGAAAAGAAGAAAAATATTTGTCCAATCTGATGAGTCCTAGATGTAAGTCTGCAAATTTTCTTTAGAATGCATGGATTCTTAGGATCTATGATGACTGATGACAGTTGAGAGTTTTACTACATGAGAAATTTCATTATCAAAGAAAAAATATATAAGAAAATGAAGATTCACTCGGTCAAAATTATATGAGGTCTCAATCACTCTTACTAAATGAAAAACCATTCACCCTAAAGGAACTCGCTCACACATTACAATGGTAATCACTCACCCAAACAAGTGGAATCTCTTGTTCCCTCATCCTTAAGCTCTCACTAAAATCCTTCCAATTTCGAAGCTTTTTATTGCATCAAATGGGAATTATTTGACCAATTAAATGAGATGGTTGCTGGGGTTACTTGTGATTGGGAGATAATTAAATATGGTTTGTAATTTGTGAGTGGCGGTTGGGAAGCATGATTAACCTCATCAATTATCTATAATCGAAGAAGTTTAGTCTTTAGTTTGATATTTGATAAAGCACATCTCTCATCATTTTCAATAGGAAATGCTTGAGCCAAGGTATCACAAAATCACTTTAATACTAATTTGATGTATCCTAGAAAAAAAACAAGTAGAATTGAAAGTAGATGGCAGAGAAATTTAATTGTTATGAAAAAAAAAAAAAGTTTACATTAAATGGGAATTCACTGACCTAAAATTATGAAGACTTCCTCATCCTTAGTAACCAGGGAATCACTCACTTTGAGGGGATCAATTATATTAGGGAATCACACACCGAAATAAGAGAAATTACTCTTCTCAACATTAAGGTTTCTCTAAAACCTTACAATTTCTAAGTCTTATATTGCATAAAATATGGATTTTTTTTGGCTGACCAAGGGTTTGTTTGATTCCAAGTGAGGTAAAGTAAATATAGGATTTTTGAAAATCTTGGCTTTGGTTGAAAGAGAAGCAAATGTGGAGTAAATTTTCAATGTATTTGAAATTCTTTATCTACTTGATTTACAATGACTTTGGAATTCATCCAAATTGGGCGAATTTCAAATACACTATTTGTGTGAAGCACTACCATTCACTGCCGCCGCCGACTACTCTTTAGATGCTGCAACAACTTGGCGTCATTATTGCCGGCCATTGCCACCTTCATTGTCACCTAATCTCTACCACCACCAATGTTGGCTACCACCAACTCTCACCCGCCACCACGGTTGACCGCTTGACCCTCCTTTGCCGTTGCTAGGTTTTACATTGAACTGATTTAACTTCAAAACAAATACGAAAAAGAAATCTCTTGTATTTATAGTGTATTAAATCAAATGATCAAAAATATTTTCAACGTACTGTATTTTTTTTACTCCTTATTTCTTTTTCAACAAATATACAGCCCCTAAATCAGATGATTGGTGGGATAGTTTGTGGTTGGAAATACAATTAAATGAGACGATTGATAGGCACAACTGCTGTCCGGGAAGCATGATTAGCATTCACTAGATATTCATTTAATCAGTATCACATTGAAAATTTTGGGATCAGCAAGGCTACACTTTCCTCTATCCATATGAGACCACTCTTATCAATATTAATATTTGTAGTTTGCTCTGCACAATGTGCCTTGGAGAAGAGAATAAAAAAAAAATTTATGTAGTGGACAATATATCCATTACGTGAGATCGGTTATATGAATTATTTTTCTCCATTGTGTCCTGTTATGAGTCAAATTCTCATTTAAATCAAATAAATAATGGTCATTTCTAATATTCTCTAACCAAGATTTTTTTAGATCTACCTCTATCTTTCTTAATATAAGTCAAATCTAATACATTTACTTTTCCTAATGGTCATCGGAAGGCCGCCATTTTATGTGACCAAATCATTTTCACTTGTCATCGGAAGGCTAGTCTCTCTAATATTATCGTCCATTAGAGCTGCTCCATCATTTTCACTTGTTATCATTTTAAATCCCGTATCTAAGAGCAAAGCCATTCATCCACCTGAACATCCTCATCTCTGCAACACTTAACTTAATATTATGCTTATCTTTTAATAGCCACTTTTGTGCACCATAAAGCATTGGAGCTCTCACCACTATCTTTAGAATTTTCCCTTAAGTTTGAGGGTACTTTTATATCACACAGTAAGCCTGATGCATTCTTTCACTTCAACCATCCAGTTTGAATTATGCTAATAATATACCCTTCCATTTCACCATCACTATGAATAATAGACCCAAGATATCTAAATTGTGTACTCTTATTAATGATTTGATCGCCTAAAGTCATAATCCCCCCCACTAGATCTATTAACACTAAAATTATACTCCATATTTTCAGTTTTAGATCTTCTCAAACAAAAACCTTTCGACTCTAAGGTAGACCTCCATAATTCAAGTTTACCTTCAATTTCCTCTCTAGTCGTATAAACAAGAAGAATATCATCGATAAAAAGCATACACCAATGTACAACCTCTTGCAAATGTCTAGTGAGAACACACACGACTAAAGAAAAAAGATATGTGCTTAAGGTTGATCCTTGATATAATCCAATAGAAATAGGAAAATATTTGGTCAAAACACCTTGTGTTTGAACACAAGTAACAACTCCTGCATACATATCCTTAATGGCTTGAATATAAGCATTATTAAACCTTTTTTTTTAGAACTCTCCATGCGCTTCTCTTGGAACTTTATTAAATGCTTTCTCAAAATCAATAAATATCATATGAAGACCCTCCTTATTCTCTCTATCATTCTCCATCAAACTTCTCAATAAATGTATAGATTCCATGGTAGACCCTACATGACATCTATGTTGCACTGATACAGATACGACAACACGGATATGACACGATACAGATACGAGACATATCAATTCTTAAAAATACAGGATACGGGTACGACGCGGATAAGGCATTATAATTTATAAATCATACATAATAATTAGAAAATCAATCAAAGCATAATATTTGAAATTACAAAAAAATGAAAACAACATCATTTGTAGCCTTGTAACTTATAATATCAAAATAGAAGTAAGCATTAAATGTCTAATACAACAACAAAAGCATAAATATAAATTGTCTAACACATGAAGTTTCAATTATTCAATAGAAAGAATGATATGATTAGTTTCTTCATTTGTTTGTCTTTGAACCTTTATATCATCTTCAATAAATATCATAGCTTCTAATTCAGGCTCATCAAGTAAAAGATTAACAATTTCGAATATGCCCATATCATCAAGAGACTCATCTTGGAAATGAGAGAACCTTGCTTGCAGCTGCTGAAGTAAATACGACACATCTTTTTTTTGGATTTCTTTTTATTTTTCAACGGACACGCGTATCGGATACGCGTGTCCTTTTAAAATTAAATAGTATTTTAATTGGATATGGCTTTGGCGTATCCGACATGTATCGGTGGCGTATCGGAGGCGTATCCGTGTATCGGTGTATCGAATACAACATGCCTTCATAAATAGGCGTAGCGGTGTAACATAGCCAGACATGAATCCCAATTGATTTTGAGAAATATTCATATCACATTATAATTTATGCTCCATAACTCTCTTCCATAGTTTTAAAGTATGACACATTAACTCTCTCCCATAGTTTTTAAGTATGACACATTAACTTAATTCCTCTATAATTCGCGCAATCTTGTGAATAACTTTTATTCTTAAAATAGGAATCAACACACTCATTTTCCACTCATCTGGCATCCTTTAGTCTTCAAAATAATATTAAAAAATTTAGTAAGTCAAGAAATTCCTTCATCTCATATGCATTTCTACACCTCTATTGAAATATTATCAGGTCCAACATCTTTTTCATACTTCATTTTCTTTAAAGCCTCTCTAATTTCGGTTTTACTAATACGTCGATAAAAAAATATATTTATTTTCTGATGAGGACATCGTCAGCATTTTCGATGCCGGAGATCGATGGCCACGAGCATGAGTTGTATTTTCATTATTTTATGTAGTAATTTATTTTTATTTTATGTTTTTTTATTTTTGCCCTTATGGGTATTTGGTCGCTATTGTAGCCCAAGGGGCATTTTAGTCTTTTGCATTCTTTGTCATTTTGAGGCCTATTTATATGGCCCTCTTCTTATGTAATAGTAGTTTTTGATGAATGAAAATTATTTGCCACGTATGATCTCTTTGTGAGTTCACCCTCCTCGATCTCTTAGTGAGTTCGTAGGAGAAGCTAGATCTCTTTGTGAGTTCTAGATCTTCTTGTTCTACCATTTTTTTTCTTTATTTCTTGTGATCGATTCGTCGTCGTGGAGATTCGGTTGAAGCATTTGTCGGAGATTAGAATTCACTCCCTGAATCCCTAAATTTTCCTTCCTCTTCCCCTCCCTTGCTCACTGCCGCCGCCCCCCCTTCCTCTGGATTACCCAGCCGCCGGCCTGCAGCAGCAATCCGCCGGCCAGCAGCTCCCATCCGCCGGCTAGCAGCCACCAGCCAGCCCAACCCGCCTGCCAGCAGTCGCCGGCCAGCCCGCCAGCTCCCCTTGCTGCCGGCCACCTTGAGCACTTGCCGCCAGCCTCCCTTTAGCCCTCCTTGCAATTTGAATTTCCCTCACTTAATGACCTTCCTAATTGAGTCCCTTAAATTAGGGAATTAATTAAGAGGAGTTACAATTTTGAAATTCAAATTCTCTATTATTTTAAATTGTGGGAAGTTATTTAAGCCCAATTAAATCTGAAATTAAAATTCAGATTTAATTGAATTTCTTACTTAAACTTGGGCCCCACTCTCATAACTCCTAAATCTCTCTCTC